GGGCATATATCCAGAAGGAACCCTACTTCAGGATGACACCTGAAATATTTTGAATACAAGAATAAGAAATGAGATATTGGGAGTGCTCAAGTGTAGAAAACTTACTCACCCTCCCTTTCTCAGCCTTCTCCGAGAGTCTCCCGTGACTTACGTGCTTCTCCACTAACCCTTGAAGTATCTCCAGTTCTTATAAACACCAAGCAGGCAATTGTGTCCATTCCCTGGGCTTTACTCCACAGATCTCCCTTCCACCTCTAACCAATGTCTTGGGGAATCACATCCAACCCCTCCTCAAAATGTCCGTTGTTCTGTGAATGGTGGACTCCCCCATTGCCTCTTCATTCAAAAACCTTGCTTAGGCTTATTCAGGCTTTGGGTAGGTTTTATTCAAAAAGTGTGTGCAAGCAAAAATGATTTTTTAAAATTTCTTTTATTTCCCATAGCTTAAAAATGAACAGCAATCTTGTACAAAATATAATATTAAACAAATATTTTATGAAAAATAAATATTTAAATATTATGAACAGCACATTTCAAATAATTTAAATAAATAAAATTACAAACTTTTTTCAGCTGTAGCAAATAGATTGTGCATTTCTCTGTTTTAAACAACTTATTGTAACTTTTAACATTTGATAGAGTTTTATAATAATCCCCCACATTTGCTATTACTTATTTTTCACTTGGCATAAAAATAAAGTTAAAGATTGCATTTTCAGTCTTAGAAAATAACCATTTAGTCAATCAGATGAACCGATCTCAGCCTCAATATCTTGCTCATTTCCTGAGTTTTCCGATGAGCTTGTTAACAAGGACCAACCGATTTCTGATTTCCACCCTGACCACCTCCCAGGCACAGAGGCTGTATTTTTTCTCTTTCAGGTAGAGACTGATTCCTTCGAAGTAACTCTTCACAGCCAGGCTGGAATTCTCGCTTCCCAGGGATGACTGTCCCACCTTCTTTTCCTCCGACAAGCATGGCTCCAGACCATCCAGCTGCAGATCAAGTACCGTGAGGAATCTCTTCCGGAGGGTCTTGTCCCAAGCCGCTGCAGAGTCACTTGTGCTGAAGAGGTTGAAGGTCTGCTGAAGCATCTTATGCACGACATCTATGGCTTGTGTCTTCTCAACCTGGTTCCCATCGACAAGTGTCTGAGGAAATCTGAAGTCAGTCCTATCCTTCAGACAGGACCAAATGGAGATTCTTTCCATTTGCCACAACAGTGTGTCGGTTTCTGAGTTGCCATGGCTCCACGGCAGCTCACACCCCAGGGAGCAAGAGGCGCTGGAACACAGCATCACCAGGGCCAACAACGCAGAGACTGGGAGGGCCATTTGGAAGTGGAAGATCGTGCAGAACTGCCTAAAGGGGAAGTTTCAGCAAGTTCTGAGGTCTTTGGGTGATGAGTGCCTTTTAAACTGTGAGGAAAGAAACTTTCATTTTCTGGTGTTTTCCACTTTTTGCCCTTTCCTTTCCCTTTCCACTTTTCTTTTTTCAGAGCCAATTAAAAATGTGCATTTAGTGACATGAGCACCTAAATGGAGGACTCCAAACCACGTGTGTCACAGCAGTATCTACACAACATTATAACATGTTTTTCATACCTCCTGGGTTGTTCTAGGGGAAGAAAGTCTAGTCAAAGTCAGAGAAAGGAGGAATGTTTGCACAATAAATGATAGCTTTCCAGGTCAGCAGGAAATGGATAAAGAGCTTATAATAGAGAAGATTTTGATTGTTCTTATTTTTTTCCTTATTTACACTTTTCCTCCTTCTTTAAAAAATTTCAATTGTGTATGTACTTTAAAGATATCACCTGAGTTCATCTTAAACTCACTGAAGATATTGTTTGGCCAATAATATCACTGATAACATTTATTTAAAATAAGTTATGGTGCACCTATGGTTGGCCAGGCACTTTGCTAGGTGCTGGTTTCCCTAAAAAATTCAACTTTGCCTCTGTGTGATTCTCTCTCCTCTACTAAGTACAACATTTCACTGTAAAAACTTTGCCTCAGCCATTGCGCAATAATACAGGTCATCTCATCTCCTTAGATATTTCATTGAGAAGTGGTATCCTACCACATGCTCAGCGATCATAAGGCTTCCTTAGTATTCAAAGCCTGTGATGACATGTCTATTGACTCTGTAAGATACAGATTATTTTTAATAATATTAATGGCAGCAATCTTTAATTATATACAGCCCATCAGCAAAGTGTTTTGCAAACATTTCATTTAATCTTCACAGCTTCCCTATGAGATAATTACTATAATTATTTACGTGTTTGCAAATGAGGAAACTCAAAACTCAGAGAGGTTACTTCACTTGCTAAAAGTCACGATTAATTACAGAAGTGGTACTTTACCACTATACTATTCTGCCTCCACGTTTCTCCTCATTCACTGTAAGCATTCTCCTTTAGCTACACTCTGTACAATTGTAATTAAGTAATCCATTTAATTATTTAACATCTGACTGCCCTGATAGACTGTAAGCTCCCCTGAGGATGGTAATCCCAGATCCCTAGTGCCCAGCAAGGTGTCTGTCACGGAGGAGGTGCACAGAGGGCTCTCTGTCCCATAGCAGGTACTAAAAGAACTACAAACTCCAAAGAGTGAACAGACCTAGAATTTGAAGACTGTGTCAGAAAAAGATAGTCTTAGAGATAGTAAGAGGAATTCTGGAAAATTTCTAAAAATGTTATCTCAGATGGGAACAGGGAGTTTCAAAAGTCTGGTAGAGCTCAGTAAAACACACCATTTGAAAGGCCGGACTGGAACTTAGAAGGTGCAAAGGGAGCTGTATCCTCTTCACGTGTATTGTAACATCTCTGGAATGAGCGAATGGCTCTTTTTGTGACTAATTGGAGAGTAAGAACGCGCTATGTGTTTATCTCAGACAGGAAGAACATTGTCGGAGGAGGCAGCCCAATCCAGGGTCTAGAACAGTGGACTCTGGGGCTAGACTGCCTGGGTTTATGTCACAGCTCTAACCTGTACTGCTTATGTGACCTTGGGGCCCTCAGTTTTCTCCTCTGATATGTGGAAATTATCATATCTATTTCATTGGATTGTGAAGACTGGATGATGTAATGTACTTACAATGCTTGGACAAAATAAGCATTCAACATCTGTTAGCTGTTCGCATAATGGGGACACATCCAACTATGGGAACTGGATAGAAGTTTCCCTGACATAATCTGCTTCCCTTCCTTTTATTCTCAGCTCACTAAGAAACATTTTTATTTCTAATGTCATCTGTTATGTGAACATGATGCCCTGTCCGAATGACTAACATCTATTAGCTTCCAGGTAAGAGCTGACTTCTCACACATGAATAAAATGGCCATCCGGTCTATACTCTATAGTCACTTGAGTGTGAGTTAGTATGATTAAATCCTCTGAATCTGATCATCTCCATGGATAGTGAAAAAATTAAACAGACAAATAAATAAATGGATACTCTCATTTAGCAAAGCTGAAAACTAGCCTTTTAGGTAACAACCTGCCTTAAAGAGCCAGCTGCCCTCCTCCTGACCCTGTCTGCAGCTAAAACAATCTCACATGGGTTGGTTTGAAATCTGTCACTCTAAAGCTCTTAATCCCTGATTTGTGTGGTTAAGTGATATTTTGTCATTTGAACAGGGAAGTTGTCACTTTTTTTTTTCATTCTCGGCATTTACTTTCCACTTGCCCGTGTGCATTACTTTTTCACAACTGCTTACTTTTACTTTCTAGGAATGTTAAATGAAAGAGGAAAGTTTTGACATCTTGAAAATCAGAAAGGAAATATGTTACCTCTTCTTTCTACTTAACTTTTTTCTTCCTTTTTTTTGCAACAAACCTCAAAGTGGAAATAGAAAAGATTGCAGGAACATTAGGACAACTTCTGTAAAATGAAAATACAAATACAGAGGGAGAGGTAACAATATGAAAACTATATGAAAATAGCAAAGAAAAAAATAGTTTGCTTAACCATTTCTTGGACCGAGCTAGGACAGTGGCCTGGGCTATGACAAAGAGGCTTCCAGGAAGCAGCAGAGACACACTCTACCTGCTCCAACACCTGGACAGTAGTGGTAGCTGCACTTTACTCTCCTTGAGGGCAAGATTAGAGGTTCAATCATCTTAGTGTAGGCTGAGCCCAGAGCAATGATTGGCACATAGTAAACGTTCAGTGATTTTCTCAATTAAGGAGAGTAAATAGGACCAAATTTAACACATTAGAAATTCCACAGCAAAGAATAAGGTGAGATCCGTGCATTTAAAGATCATGTATCTTTCACACCTGAGCAGCTCTTCCAAGAGGACTATCGAGAGGCAGGAGAAAGATTTTTTACAGGAGCCAAGCAACACTTCCTTAACAGTCGATCTTATCAGGAAGAAAGATCCAGATAACTCTATCATTAGCTCAAAGTTGATTTTTGTTAAGACAATAAGCATTCCTTTGAATTAGAACTTCTAATTTTTTAATGAATAAATTGTACTTCAATTGTAAGAATAAAGAAAGAGTTGAAACTAATGACAAATTTCCAGGCCCTTGAAGAGAAGGAAAGTCCAAAATGGGGAAGTACAAAGATCTGGGGAAAATTCAAAAAATGAAAACTTTCAGATTCAACACTATAGATGCACACAGACAGAAGATTCTTGGAGAAACTGGACAAAAGCTCATAATCTCTCATCTCTCCCGGAAGGCTTCCTCGTGGAGCTAACCAGTGGCTCGTTCAGTCTCTTGCCTGATGGCACTGGTGATGTTCTTCCCCAGCCCTGTCCCCTCCATTCTCTGTGGCCTGCCTCAGAGCCTGGACTTGGGAAAGCAGGACACCTTCACAGATCTGGACCAAATGGGGACAACTTCTCTTCTTTCCTGTCTGAAGTACAGGATTGATTTCAAATTCCCCCAGGAGATGGTGGATGGCAGCCAGCTCCAGAAGGCCCAGGCCATCTCTGTCCTCCACAAGATGCTCCAGCAGATCTTCAACCTCTTCCACACGGAGCGCTCCTCTGCTTCCTGGGACACCACCCTCCTGGACAATCTCCACACTGGACTCCATCAGCAGCTGGAGGACCTGGACACCTGTTTGGTGCAGGTGATGGCAGAGCAAGACTCTGCCCAGGGAAGGGCGGGCCCTACACTGGCCGTGAAGAGCTACTTCCAGGGACTCCATCTCTACCTGAAAGAGAAGACATACAGTGACTGTGCCTGGGAAATTGTCCAACTGGAAATCAGGAGTTACTTTCTTTTCATTAACAAGCTCATAGGAAAACTCAGGGAGTAAGAAGGAACCTGATTCTCAGGGACTGGTGTCCCAGCTCAGACTCTTAATTGTTCAGTCATTTCCAAAACTGTTATTTTTGCTTCAGCTATAAAATAATTTGAGTCATATTTAGTATATGCAGTAATATTAAGCATATTATTATCCAACTATTTCCAGAATTGAAGGAAATGTAACTGATGACCTGTGGCTGAATCTCATGTTATAAAATAAATATTATGCATGTATTTTATTTATTTATTTATTTGTTTGTTTGTTTGTTTGTTTGTTTATACTAAGTCATCTACTTATTTTTATGGTATTTGCATTTATATGTTCTATTTTTAATGTAAGAATATGTTACATTGTCTTTAATAAAATTTTTACCTTTTTACTTATTAAATTTGGGATCTGGGGCTACACAGGAGAAGTAAAAGATGCTTATGGTGGTGAGTATCATTAGATTACCTTCAGTTTTCCCAAGGGAAGTAATCCAAAGTATGAGACTTGAAGAATGAGGCGCTTGTTAAATAACACATGAAAAGCAAAATTTCCCAGAGTTAGAAAAAAAATCTGCATAGAGTGGCCTTGTAGCAGGAAAGGGCCCCTACATTTAAAGAAGTGAAAAAGACCAGAGTGGGTGAACTGGACTGACAGGTATAGAGTGTGGCATGTAATGAGGCTGGAGAAAGGCAAAGAGGTCCAATAATAGACTTGGTGGAAGATAGTAGATTTTTATCTTAAAAGCCAAGGAAGTTACTTTAGGATTTAAAGCTAGAGAGTGGCCTTGACCAGAGCAGGTGCAGGGAGATTGTTTAAACTAGAAGTTCTCAAAGTGTGGTCTGTGGGCTCCTGAGAGTCCCCAAGACACTTTAAGGGATCCACAAAATCAGAATTATTGATCTTGATATTATAATAATACCAAGACATTGTTTTTTTTTCCACCACATTAGCAACTTGTGCCAGTGGTGCAAAAACAATGGCAAGTAAGACTGCTCGTGCCTGTGTCAATCAAACAAGTGGCACCAAAATGTACTAGTAATTGTTATATTTTTCACTGTAATGCACTTGAAGTAAAAAAAACAAAAAACAAACAAAAACAGTTTCACTTAAGAATACCCTTGATGAAATAGTAAGATTTTGAATTTTATAAAATCTTGGCTTTTGAGTACACATCTTTTTAATATTCTCTGTGATAGTCTTTTTAATGTTCTGTGTGACAGGCACATTTCCTGCATGCAGGATGATTGTTCTGAGGAGAAGCGTGTACATATGTGATTGAGTCAGCAGCTAAGCCAGCTGCTCTTGGTGGAGGGTATAGCTCAAGTGGTAGAGCGCATGCTTAGCATGCGAAAGGTCCTGGGTTCAATCCCTGGTACCGCCCCTAAAAATAAAATCCAATTACCTCTCCCTCTAAAAATACATAAAGTCACCTAGAAGTGTGAAGAAAAAGATACTTCAACAAACTAGCCACTCTTCACAAAATCCATTGTTACACCAAAGACAGACAAATGATGGTGATTTAGATTTAGGCATTTAACAGACGTTTTCTCAAGATATTTATTAAATGAAACTTCAAGGAAAATATTTGTTGCCAATGATAAGAGTTGCACTTCCAGTAAACAATTAGAATTTTTGAAGATCTACCACTGCGATCTTGACAAACTTCCCAATACTTAAAGGCTTTTATAATGACAACAATGGTGATGTTAACAAATCAATTACTCAGTTATACAACTTCAAATATATATAGATTTGTAAGATCTGAATACCTCAGTGAACCATTATTTTCCATATGACCAATGTCTGTATTATAAAATTAAGCATAGGTAGAAAAGACCTATTCAAACAGCAAGTCAGACTGATAGGTTTATATGTAACAGAATTTTTAAAGTTCATTGTTTTGGCTTTAGACTCCACATTGCAATTACTCTTTAAGAAATTATCACTTACCAAGCTCTGGTTTGATAAATGATGCATTATACGAAAGTATATTCTGGTATCAAATCACCTTTATATTTCTAAGATACTGTTTTTAATCATGATGAATTAGTTTGTTAATGCGATTTTGAATTCTGTCACACTGGAGACAGCATATGGATTTGAGGAAATACTGATTGGGTTTGAATCATAATTCCACTCCTTAATAGCTTCTATTATATGTTGTTCTTGTACATAATAGGTACTCAATAAATGATAGTTACTATTATCTAAGGACAGCAGCAGAGAATAATGTATTATTTAAGAGCTTGGTCGGGTTGTTGAGAAGGTAAAAATACTTTCTGTAAAGTGTTTAGTATACTCCCTGTTGCAGAGTGAACATTCAATAAACGTTAGCTTTTATTATTTATATTAATGTTATTTCGAATTCTTTTATTGACTTTCATGAGTGAGGCCAGTCTATTTTCAATTCATACATTTGATAAAGCTATGAGTTTACCTCAGTGTGCAATTTTGATTTCTTCTGCAAATTTTAAAAGTAGTGATTTAATTTCCATTACTTCCTAAATTTCTCGTTTTTTTTACTCTGACTGGATTATAATTTATTAGTCTGATTTGAAACATCTAAATGATTACTTTACAAATTACTGTAAAATTAATTGCAGGCATTGTGATCTAAGCATAAAACATAGTAATTTTGCTCTGGAGGAATGACTGGTATTTTCTTTTAGTCTAATATATGATAATTTTCATAAATGATTCATAAATATTTGAAGGAATTTTTTTCCCATTTTAGGTTATAGTGCCCCAGAGCCTTAACCACAAATTTGCTCTTTTAAATCATAGTTTCAATTCTTCTTATCCTTATTATTTTTCTATATTATTTTTATAGACTAATAACATTGTGCTAAAATGTCAGTGCTACCATGTTTCTGTTCATGTTACCATATATTGGTAAAATTTTTCTTAATGTTTTACATTATTTGAATTTTAGTTCCATGCCTTTTATATAACTTAATTATAGATCCAATTTGTTTCTTATATATATCAATCTTTTTTCTAAAATTTAACACATTTTCATTGAATTCCCACAGACTGCAATATTGATATTAATCATTATCAGTATCTCTCTGATATTAATATTGCCACTTTTAATTTCTTCCCTTTGTTGCATTTTCTTGCTCTGTCTTTGCCCATTTCTTTTTAAAACTTTTTTACTATTATTTAGCATTGTTTGATTTTAGGCTTTTCTCCCTATTCAAAGTAATAGTGGGATTACTGTTTCAAACCAATCAACAAGTTTTTCTTTTAATAGGGAAGTTTAAGCAGTTTATATGTATTATCTTAACCATTATATGTTTGGTTGTCAAATGTATTGACCTATGCTTTACTTTTAACATTACTTCTGTATGTCTTTGACATATGATACTCCTTTCAATTCTCCAATTGTCATTAATTTTTAAATATATATTTAAAAGCAATTTAGATTTTTCTCTTTATTTTTGAATGAAAACTTTCAAAATTAAAATTGCAAAAATTAAGGTATTGTACTGTTTTTAACTGATTTTTCTGTTTATTTCCAGTTCTTACTGGGACTGTTTCTTTTAGTCCAAACTGTAAGTGTGCATAAGAGACATCGTATGAATAGATACATATGTAAATTTATGTTCATATATAAACAGATAAGAAGGTCCAAAAAGTAAGTAAGTAGAAATTGACTCTATTTTTTAGAAAGTAGAAATACATTAATTTTGAATGCTCTTAGAATGACAGTACATTGGATGCAGTGTGCTAAATTAGTGCCATATAGCCCAAATCTAATCACTGGAAATTTTTACTAATCATGTGGTCAGTAAGGCCGTAATCAACTTGAATTAAACAGTTTTCATTTTAAGATAAAGCAATGAGTCTGATATTCTTATCCACTTGTAAACTGGCTCTGAAGACAGTTCTCATCCTGGAATGCAAAATCTTTTTGAATGACGATAATACTGTTGACATCATTTAGTCTTTATAGCTTCTGACACGTTTTTCAGACTTGTATTAGAACTGCATCCAAGTGCATGTACAGTCAAGGGAACAACGGAAAGATCTACGTGAGTGTCACATAGACTACTCCTTCTGGGTGGCCGCTCCCCAACCTTGAACCAAGAAGGCAGGTGAATCGACTCATGTCTGAGGGCACAGCGTAAGCAGCAGCAGTCACTTCATCACACTATGCTCTCTGTGTGTTACTGGAAGCCTTTAATGGCCTTTCTTTAGTGATTCACTCTTCAGTGTTGAGCTGGATTAAGCCAAAGCCGGGAGAGAATAAAGGTTTTAGGCAACCTTTCTCCTCCGTGTTCCAGGCCCTCAGCTTTGGAGTCTTCGACTAGTGAATGACACATTCCTTAACCAAAGCTATGTAAACTTGAAGTTATCCTGCCATCTGCTGGATGTAGTCAAATACTGGCTTAGAGACTGTGTATATTGGTCTCCCAAGACCTCCAGCTAGGAAGAAGGCAGGAAATTAGAATTAAAGGAAGACCATTTTGAGGTCTTGCCAATTTAAAAACAAAGAAATGAATGTATAAGCAAGGTGAAAAAAATTCTAATTCATAGCAGTGATCCTAGTAATGGGCATCCTATTCCAAAATATTTACACATGTAACTGGCATATTTGTATAATTTAAACCAAAAAGAGACATTTATATTTAGTTAACAATTTAGTTTGTAAATGCTGTTATTCCTGGGCTGACTTACATTGTATCTATCACCACGCTAAGACAATTAATCAAGTTTTTAATAACTGACTCTTGGGATGAAGGGGTTAGGCTTTTGTTTCCTGCTTTCTCAAAGGATCCGTGAGTTCTGCTATACAAATTTACTCACCCACCTCCCTGATCAATTACCTTCAAGTTCTACACGTCAATAATTTCTTGCATGGAAAGCATTCACTGAAAGCACAAGCTCACTGGATATTTTCTGTAAGTAGAGTCATGCAAGCTATGTTATTGTCACACGACAAAGCGCGCTGGCTGTGTGGGCTGACCTGATAAGGATGCACTGGCAGGGCGGAGAGTGGCAGCCAGGGTGCTGACCCTTAGGGCAGATAGCAAGGGATAAGCACCAGAGGTTTAAGAACTGGAAGAAAATTCACTGTGGAGAATGATTCAGGGAGGTGAGTAGCTCATGATGAGGCTAGAAATGTAATTTTTTCCAGCCAGAGGCAACAACTTTCCTGTGATAATTGGAGGATCATTCTAAGCATCTGGACTATAGAAAGCCAAATTTCGTCTCCATCCGCTGGAGCTAAGTTTCTGCTGCCACTTTCAAGTAAGTCAGACCTGGAATTCTGGTCCAGGCCCAAAGTGGCTGACCGTGACAAATCCCTGGGTCTCACTGTGAAGTTCTGAAGGAGGAAGAGCTGGGATTCCTGGAATTATTGAGAAGTGACCTTTCCGCTACCCATCAGACTCAAGGGGGAAGGCCGAAAGAAAGCAGTCAGGTAGGAGGTGTTGGGACAGATCTCAGATGAATGTGGAAACAATTCAAAGCAGGGGACAGACATGAGATATGAGAAGAGGGACTGAGATTCCAGGTGAGTCCATTAGAGCCCCAGCCACCCCACGTGAGGGGAGGATGCTATTAAAGGGCACAGAGCTTTATAAGAAGCTGGCAGGTGTCAACTGAAAAAAAAAACACACGCACACAACACAAGAGCTGTGAGTCCAGTTTTATCTGAGGACTGATGGAGGACTATATCCCGAAAGACAGCCTCTCAGATAGCTTTGAGGAACTGCTCTGAAGAGGCAAGAGGGGAGGTCAGTATATATGTGATGTTGGTAAAGGGGGTATGTGTAATCAAGCACACATCTTGGTAGAAATTTGCTGCCACTCGTGAGGAGCAGATGTCTCCATTAATGATTTTAGTGCTTTTCTGAGTATGAGAAGGTGCAAGAAATTGGGTTCATAAAATTTTCTCCTGAAAATATCTATCTGAAAGCGTGTTCTGCAAGTTTTCCCAGAGCACAGAGTGACTCATTCCTAATCTCCCCTCTGAACTCCTTTCAGGGTGTGTTAAAGGTCAGCGATGGCAATGACTTCATTCTTGCAGAACCAGATGGTGAGCAACATTTTGTTTTTTCTGTCACAGGTATCCCTTTAGCTATTTGCTGGTTGATCTTATCAAAGTTAAATTTTCATTTTCAGGGGAGTGGAAGAGCAAATATTAACAGAGGGTATCCGCTGTCTACCTAAGACATATTTCTTCCAGACCTTTCCCATGGAGGTCCCAGATAGGGAAATGACCTCAGAGAGCAATTGGACTGAGCCTGGTCTTCAGCTCCCCTGAAAGGAAAATTTGACTCTGGTAAGATCAACCAAGGGATAGTTAAACAGACACTTGTGACAACAAAAATGTATCCCTCACCATGTGGACAACGGGGATGTGTTTGTGTTTCTCTACCAAAGTTGAGTGTTCCTGCCTGTTATTTTTGGAGGACAGATGGGACTGACCCCTAAGATGCTGGAGGATGCTAGCCAGCTCCAGGAAGCCCACACTCTCCTGTCTTTCCTGAGATGTCTCTGCAGCATCTTCAGTACAAAGGGCCAGGATGTTCGGGATGAGAACTTTTTGTAGAAATTCCACATTGGATATCATCATCAGTAGCTAGAACAGCTGGAGGTGTATTTGGGTCAAAAGCTATTCAGAAGAGAATTTCCTGGAAGGGAGATTTCAAAACTGGCTGTGAATAGTTACTTTTAGCAGTGTTACGGTGATTTCAATTTCACATATACGTAAGATCATACAGTATTTGTCCTTCTTGAAGACCCCCTACCCACAGGTTTTGAGGGGCCATGTTGCATCTAAACATTCAGTCCACAGACAAGGTACTTCTAGAACTTCTTACAACCTTAGCACCAAACATGTGCTGGGTTCTCTGGAATTAGAGGACTATTGCTCACTTTACCCTTTTTGGTCTCTACTACTGCCCTCTGTGAAATTGATAATAATCAAGAGACCCTAATCTGTCCTGAGATCAAATCTAACTGTGCTCCCTACCAGCTGTGGCTCATGAGCAAGAGCCTTCCCATCTCAGAACCTCACACCACCCCATAGTGTTGCAGCTGCATGGGAGGGAATACAAATGGAAAGAGTAGTTGTGAAACCATATACAAAGTGCTGTGTGCAGGCTAGTGGTTATTCTTCAACACATCTAGTTGTACTACTTTGGACTAGTGATCTAGCGTGCCATGATAGTTGTTTAGTGGTTAAGGAATGTGTCTCTGGAGCCAGGGTTTGATCCCAGCTCTATTTACCAGTAGTGAAAATTTTGCAAATAACATAAATACTACACTCCTCACCTTTAACATAGGGGACAGTAATAGTATTTTTCATAGGATTATTGTATTAAATGAATAAATATACATGAAGAGCATGAAAGCGGGCAACAGATGGGTAGTTGTCAGAGGTGGGGGTTGGTGGTGGGCAAAATGGGTGCAGATGGTCAAATGGTACAAACTTCCTGTTACGAGATAAGTAAGTTCTTGGGATGTAATGTGCAGCTTGATGACGGTAGTCAACAATACTGTATTGTATAAATACTGTATTTCAATACTGTATTGGAAGTTGCTAAGAGAGTAGATCTTAAAAGTTCTCATCACAAGAAAAATAATTGTTAACTATGTGAAGTGACAGATGTTAACTAAACTTATTGTGGTGATTATTTTACAATATATACATATATCAAATCATTATGCTGTACACTTTAAACTAAAACAATATTATTCGTCAACGATATCTCAATAAAACTAGGTGAAAGGAAGAATCCTCGGGGTCTTGAATACACTTATGCTGGTGACAGAAGATTTGCTTCTGGTGTAGATGGACGCCATAGGAGGATGAGAGGAGAAGTGGGGGGAGGAGTGAGGTTCAGGGTGAGCAGGGCATAGGATTTCTGAATTCGGGGCTCCAGCAGGGTGACTTGTGGGCATCTGAGCTATCCTGTCAGCCACAGCCACCTGAGGGGGAAGGAAGCATACCATTCACTCAGTGCTGCTGGAAATAAGAGTCTCCATCAGCACACCTTACTAGTGTTGAGAATCTTTCTCAATCTTGCATGACTGGTGACAAGGTAAAACGTGGATAGATTCAACATGTCCAAAAGAGCGCTAGTTATACATTCACAATGGGCTGTGAGTCCTATCTCTGGATCCCACCACAGCCTAGATGGAAGTCACTTCCCATCGCTGATCTGAAAATCACTCTTCATAACATCTCCAATGAGATTCTGAATAAAAGAAAACTTTGCAAAATGCTGTCCAAGGACAACCAAGTTTTATGATTAGGTCCTAGACATGGGAATCCACTGGGCTGAGCAAGTCACAATGTAGTGGTTTGCTGACACTCTCTGTTGGCAGCTGAATATACTCCCCCCAAATGATCCTAACATGGTCAGGGTGCCACATAGCCCTTACTGAGATGGCCATCTCTGACTAGCCTAGGCTGAGTTCCCCTCCCTTTGTAGAACTTGTATCTCTGAGTCTGATATGAGGGGAGTAGGATGAATGAGCAATCTGCTCTTTCTCCCACAGTTCTCCCAACAAAAGTTGAGTCATTTCAGGATTTTATCAGACTTCTGTTTTGGATGGGATGTGGTGACTTGTTGCCTAAGAGGCAACATCTTGCTGAGCGAGATGGCAGTGATAACTCTAGCTTGGAAGATTGTGGGGTGACGATGCCTTTGACCAACTTAGTGACATCAAGGGGAAAAAAAGGATTGGGCTTTCGTTTTGTCACACCTGAGTCACATTCATGATTGCTTTCAGCTGGAAGAATCAGGCACAATAACCCCCATGTCAAGGATATTCAGTAGTTCTAAACTTCAAATCAGTCACTGTCACAACCCAAGGCCGCATCTCACATTGAACAGGGTGCCTGTGTTGAAAGCCGTTGTCCACACATCTACAGTACAGGAGAATTTCCTGTATTAGTGTTTTCCACTGTGGAAAGGCAGCAGATCAAGGGGCAAGACTGTGCTGGCTTTGAAGTCAGAAAGACCTGGATTCAATTCCAGGTACTGTTTTGAACCATTTGAGCTATAAGGAAAATTATTTAACCGAAGTCTGTATTTTCTCATCAGTAACAATTTCCTAGCCAGGATTGTAGTGAGAGTTTCTATATGCTTGATCATCTCTCAGATTCTGTTGGTCCTGTTTTATGGGATCAAGGACAGACTGATGAATTTTTTTTTTAACCAGACTGATGAATTTTTGAAACTAAATAACACACTCACAGCCCTACGGGTAAGATACCAGTAACAGTCACCATCAACCTTGTCCCTCTTCCTAAAGCCCCCATCCTTTGGAAAACCAGAGCATGATATACTAGCCCCTCCCAC